ATAATAATAATGTAGACCAAGGACCTTAACATAGGTAGTAATAGGCCGATAATGTAGGCAAACACTATATTAAGTTAGCTAGGGAGAACTGGCAGCCCTAGTTTGAATGACGAGGCGTGGGTCTGGGAGGGATCAGCTCGTTCTTCTATGACCATACACCACCTGGACAAGATGTGCTGTGATCAGCAGACGGCCCCCTTCCCCACGTGTCTTCACATATGAGACCTGGGGAAATCTGGTAGAGGCACCTCGATGTACCGTAGATGACCTCCTTCGTTAGGCCCATACAGTAAGACAAAACCTCCACTTTCTCTTAGGATTTCTGGCCAGTGTCTGGGGAAAATTGTGAGTAAGTTGATCTGTAGGCCTGTGTGCAGCTGGCAGTGCATGCCCAGTACATACCAGTGTCTCTTGTCTATCTAGAAGCTAGTGTCCGTGTCTGCATAATTGCACTAGGGGATACACACCCCCTTGGATATAGGAATTTCTGAGGTGCAGGCAGGTCACTAATATCGATTGAATATTGCAGGAATTAAGGCTCCCGGTTGCACGTGATTTCTGAGGGGAAGTCCGAAGGGGCTAAGGCTAAGCTTAGGAAAGTTGAAGATCAGGATATATATATGCTGCAACACCAAGTAAGTTAGTCCTTTATACGTGCATGCAGGCGAGTTTCTTGCAACATCAATCATTTGTGAAAATCTGTCCTGTAAGCCACTTGTGAGGCTGAGGTACCGACCTCAGAGCTAGGTGTCAACAGAGTTTGCCAGGGTAGGCGACTCACTTGGAGGCAGTCCAGACAACTTTTCACAAAGACTTTACAACTGCCTCCCAGAATACCTAGGGGAGGGATTACCAATAGAACCCTGGCTGTCTTCAGTGAGGAGCTGGGCAGGCACCTAAGTCGGTATCTGACCAGCCGGGCTGTGGGTTGTACGTCAGTTTGTGCGGCCAGCAATAACAGACTGGTTGATCACCTGATCCACCACGAGGCCTGGTCGCAGAACGAGTCGCGGGGACGTTGATCCCCGAAACTCTCCCTCCAGGTGTACTCCCAAATATACTTTGATTCTGTTTTTGGCGCTACTTCTCACAAGATGAACATATGACGCATCATGGAGTATCCGCTCAGAAGTCAACTATCTTTGCACTGAGGGAAGTTATTTGATGGATTGAACATAAAGAATAACATCATTGGGATTTTCTAGGTTGAGTAATTTATACTCGAGCTTAGGAGTGAGTAGCTTTCAGGTCCACTGCAAGTTTGCTGTACTGAAGGCTTTATTAATTGGGTGTTAAGCTATTTACTGTGTTGTCTTGTTCTGTGTCGATTTGGGCTGCCTTTGTGTAAGTAAGCAAGCAAGTTTATTTAGGCTTACACAAATAGTTACATAGATTATGGTACCCCGTGGCCTTGTGGCTAAAGCTCTCCCTTCGCATAGTGAGGGTCCGGGTTCGATTCCCGGCAAAGGGGTGGAAAGATCGGACGTGTTTCCTTACACCGGTTGTCTATGTTCACTCGCCAGTAATAATGGGTACCTTATGTTAGTCGACTGGTGTGGGTCGCATCCTGGGACAAAACTGACCTAATTTGCCAGAAATGCTCTGCATAACAAGCGGCTTTCTATAAAGTAGTATGTCATTGATGTCAGTTAGGCCTGTATACCTTATACATGTATATGTACTTGTAGAAATAAATATATTATTATATTATTATTAAACTGGGGAATCTGACTCAACACCGAGTAAGCTTTGGTGGCCCTCAAACCCCCCCAACAACAACAACAATAACAATTGTCTGCCATTATATACTCACTCATCCTCATTGTATCAAATTCTGGATTAACAGCCAATCCAGCAGTAATTTGTGAGGTAAGCAGGCAGGGAAACTAGTATTTATTTCTAAAACTTGGTAAAAGCGGTAGAAAGTAATGGTAGATGCCAGTGATGAGTCACGTCACCAAGGCGACCATCAGCCACAAGAATGACATTTTTTCCTACTGGACAGAGAGATCTCCCATATATTAACCCCTCAAGGAAGGTTCCTTGATGTTGGTGAGGGGCTCTTGATTTAGGGAATTGGATCTGTGCTCCAGTTCCCTGAATTAAGCCTGAATGCCTTCCACATCCCCCCCAGGTGCTGTATAATCCTCCGGGTTTAGCGCTTCCCCCTTGATTATAATAATAATAATCTCATATATTAAGTAGTTAAAATGTCATCAGTCGCAGCCCTAACGTAAACTAAACCAAAATTATGCTGTTAGATAACTGATATATTCCACTAGGTGCCAGACGTGCCACCTGGGAGACTCCCACCCCTCCAGGGAGGTTCCTTTATATATTTTTTATTTATTTATTTATTTAATAATTTGAACATACAGAGGTACAAAAAATACAGGTAAGAGCAGCATGCCAAAGCCACTTGTATGCATAGCATTACGGGCATGAGGGGCTCTTGAGCTAGGGAATTGGATCTTTGCTCCAGTTCCCTGAATTGAACCTGAATACCTTCCATCCCTCCCCCCCCCCCACAGGAGCTGTATAATCCTCCGGGTTTAGCACTTCCCCCTTAATAATATTAATAATAATAACAATGGAAAACTCCTAGACATTGTTGTAACTTTATTTAGGTACACGTGAATACAGTTACATAAGTTATCATACATAGTAACATACGTTTAAATTACCTACGATAACGAAAAACAAAGTGACTTACTTCCATTAGGGTTTTATTTACGTACTGGTCCACATAAGTACTGCTATACAAATTTAGGTGTACCTATACCTAAATAATCATACATCATAAGTCACTCTGTCTGACTTTTTTGGGTTATCCTAGGTTCTCTACACATATGCTGCTATGTATGATAATTCTATGTAACTGTATTTGTGTATACCTGAATAAACTTACTTACAGTCAGGTAACAGCCATAATTAAACAAGAATATAACATAGCTACATAGTAATGATTGTCAGGTGCAAGAACATATGAGCAACTAAAGAAAAATTTAGTGTATGTATGTTTCAACACATGTGTCAGGAGATTAATAAAGTTCTTATAGAGTGAAACATAGGAATAATGTCAAATTAATTGCTCGTGTGTTCTACCTAACTTAGTGTCAATAATTCTACCAGTATTTATATATCACATTGAGTGTCGGGTTGATTATAGGCAGATAACAATGTTAATTACATTAGAATATAACATAGATAGGATTAATAAGGTAATATTATTCCCAAAAAGGATACATTTGACTTAAAATACATGTAGTTAGCTAACAGCAAATAATAAATTTTAAAAGAAAAAGCCTGTAGTTATGCATAGCATTTTTGGCAGTCATATGATGGAACTAATACTAACAATATTAATGTACAAAATATTGGACTTTGCACATAAAATTACATAACATTGTAGTACAAATTTTATTAAAAAAATGCATTTAGTGAAGAACATTAAATTAAGAATTAATGTTAAATTAAACTAAACTTTCATAAAATTTATATGAACATATATAAGGATATAAAAATGGGTGGAGATAAATAAAACAAGAAACTTGTTGTAATGTAAAAATTGGATATAAAAATATGATAGTTAAATTTATTCTCAAAAAAAAGCAGTATTATGTTGAACAGTTATTCTTCACTTAATGAAAGTTTGCTTTTTGGAATTTTGGTTAGCAATCAAAGGGCTCCTCCTCCATATAATGATCACCTCCAGATTAATTATTGACTAGTGCGTGTGGGAAGTAATAGTGCCTGCACTCTGAAGGAGTGGTGGGGATATTTGAAGTTTTGAACTATAGTATCAGTGCCCCTCTGGCAAGGCAGTGATGGAGTGAATGATGATGAAAGTGTTAATTTCTTTTTGGGTCACCCTGCCTCGGTGGGAAATGACTGGTGTGTTAAATAAATAAATCAATATTGATGTTTAGATGTCCCTCTAAACAGCAAATATCCCAAACTAATCCTGTAGAGTGTAGGCACTGTACTTGCCATTTTACATACTTCTTGCAGTGTTGTGACCCATTATGGGTATGACATTGTTTATGAATATCTGTATAAGAGACCATTAAGGGCATGACATTGTTTATGAATATCTGAAAAATAATAATAATAGATATTCCAATATTAAACAGTCCTGTGTAATTTATATTTAGAATATTATAATAATTGTTTATAATTTGTGATATTAATACATATGAAATGTGCTTAAAGTAAAAAATTAATATAGAACTATATTTTGTATCTTATAACCCAGCAAAAGGCTGCAATCAGAATGATAAATCCCACTCGCGACAGCATGCTCCACCTTTATTCAAAAGTCTAAATCTCCTCACCATAAAGAACATCCACACTTATTCATGTGCCTACTACATACATAGAACAATACACACAAACATAAACCCTCCACTCAAACTTCTCCTCACCAACCTTAACAGGACACATGGCCATAACACAAGACACAGATCCCTTTTTGATGTACCCAGTGTCCATATCACACTGTAAAAACTATGCACATAAAGGGCCCCAAAATTTGGAATTCATTACCAGCAAATACTAAAGTAACATGGTCTGAAAATCAATTTAAGGTACTTTTAAAAAACCATTACATCACTCAATATTTAACTTTACCAATAAATCTCCCATTTACTTAACTCTTAAAACTTCAAGACAACTAATAACAATATGATCATCTTGTTACGTTATACATTGTAATGTGACAAATTCACAACTATAATGCTTCAAAATCAAAATGTTCAAACTTCATTGCTTCAAATACTAAATTGTACTTCATTTTGTAAATTGTTTACAGTAATTTTTACCACTGAATCTGTCATTGCTTAGTTAATTTTATATTAATTTTAAGCCTGCCCATAATTCTCTGCATATATGGGGCTTTTGGCATGTACACCCAACACTTATTTCCTTGTACAACTATGTATCATGTCCAAATAAAGTATTGTATTGTATATTCCATTTAATGTGACATTTATTTTATGTAGGTAATCTGGCTCCAGAGGGTGGTAGTGTGCCAATGCAGCAAGTTGTCTTTTTCATTACCAGGAGAGGAATTGCATTTGTAGTGCTTTCACTGCAGATCTTCCCAGCACCAGAGGAAGTACAATTGTGGTTCTAATATTCAGTGTTATAAAGCTTGTATATGATACATAAATACTGAAATATGTATGGTGATGGCACTATTTAATTTCAGTGATGGAAATGCTACATATACAGTGTCAACACCTGTGTCATGTTAGTCAAGCGAGACTCCTTAACAGTCTGTTTTGACATTCATACTCCTGACTTAGAATAAAAAAGAAGTGTATTTAAGTTAATCTCTCTCTCCAACAAAATGTGCTGATTCTCCTTTAAGTTTTTAATATGACTATGCATTGTACAAGAATATTGCAAAGGTTGAATGTTCTGCTGTATTATAGAGGTGTTGTTCATGAGAACATTACACAGCAGTATGATGATAAATGTACAAATGGTATTATGAGGAAGGTACTATTTATATGACCATTGTGCAGCAGTAATGATTGTATCTGCTATATCAGTTATAAAATTTCTCATCTGTCATAGTCCCCACCTCATCCCATCCCTTTGCTCTGTTTTACTGTTATAAACTAGCAATCATTGTCCCATGTACTGTGTTTGACACATTATAAGGTTCCAATTTTGCATGAAAAGTATATTTATCAAGCTGTATGCCATTTCATTAATTAGAGAAAACATTAATACAGCTGACTGTCATAGAAATTTTAAAAAACTTTTATTTGTATGCTATACAAAACACATTCCTGGTGCTTGTCATAAGTAAAGTTTGCATAAAGCAAGATCATAGTAGCAATATTTTGTGTGGATAGGAAGTACCAAGACTGCAGTAGTAACATGAAGTTTTTTAATAAATTGGCTTTAATAATGTGCATGATAATATATATAAAATATAACTTATAACAATATACATTATTTCAAAAGTGGTGTGAAAGCTATGGCAACAAAGATTCAAATTTATATATGGTATTAGAAAGCCCTTCATGGTAGGTGCTTTGCAGTTATGACTTGCTCTTAATCGAGGGAATTTGAGTTGTAGTGAATCATCTTTGCTTATTCCTTAGGCTCTGTATGACCCTTATGGGTTTATCACATAACCATGTTTATAATATTGTAATAAAACAGAATTTCAGAAATATTGGTTTTCAGTGTAATGATGTACCAGCAAAATTTTCATCTTGTTAAGCTCTCATAGTTCATATAGAATATTATCAAGTCAGTGATCAATATGTCAAAAATACTTGAAAAAGAACATGTTCAAAGGTCACAAATTATTCTACAACCACAAGATAAATTACATCAACATACACAGTCTCTAAAACACTCCTCACTAAAGTCTCACTGTGCATCTTTGAAGAGAATTTGCAAAAGCAAAAAAGCACTTCAGTGTTCAGTGTGTCTAAAAGACTTTTCCTATAACTCTACCTTAATAAAACATATGAGAATTCATACTGGAGAGAAGCCATATCATTGTCCAGAGTGCCTAAAAGATTTTTCTCTAAAGTCTATCTTAGTACAACACATGAAAACTCATACGAGAGAGAAACCATATCCGTGTTCAGTCTGTCTAAAAGGGTTTTCTCTAAAATCTAATTTGGCACAGCACATGAAAATTCATACTAGAGAGAAACCATACAAGTGCTTAGTATGTGTGAAAAGTTTTTCTAAAAATGATCATTTAATCAATCACATGAGAAGTCATACTGGAGAGAAACCATATGAGTGCTCAGAGTGTCTAAAAGCTTTTTCCCTAAAACTTAACTTACTAAAACATATGAAAATTCACACTGGAGAAAAGCCATTTCAATGTTCTGAATGTCTCAAAGAATTTTCTGATAAATCCAGTTTAATAAGACACATGAGAGTTCATACTGGGGAGAAACCATACCAGTGTTCTGAGTGTGTAAAAGACTTCTCAGATAAATCTAGTTTACTAAAACACATGAGAATTCATACAGGGGAGAAACCATATCAGTGTTCAGTGTGTGCCAAAGACTTTTCACATAAATCCAATTTAGTAAGACATATGAGAATTCATAGTGGGGAGAAACCATATCATTGTTCAGAATGTCTAAAAGAGTTTTCAGATCAGTCGAGTTTAGTAAAACACATGAGAGTTCATAAAAATTAAGTCATATCAGTGTTCAGTTCCTGGAAGTGGAAGGAGTTGTACACATTTAAGTTTAGAACAATCTAGTAATTATCCAGGTATGTTAGCTACTATCTGCCAATGCAAAGGAATTCACTGAATAAACAAGAAAGATAGGTAGCTGCATTGAAAATCCCTCGCCAAATACTACCTTCCTTGGGGATTTCAGCCTTCCAAAAGTAAAGCAAAGACATTAGCAGCAATTTACCAGAAATAATTCCTAGAAGCTTTCTAGGTTAACAAACATACCATGGAAAAAGTTTGTTTTAAGCTAACAGATAAGAAACTGCTAGAAATAAGAAATACACAAAATTTGATCATGAATAATGAAGAAATTATCAGACACACAGCACTATCAAATAAAATGTACAGTACTCTTGAAGTGCCGCAGCTTCCACTTCAGTCCCATGTTAGGGTGGACAAAGCACCAGACGATGCCATATTGTCTGTTCCCTCAGGTAGAGACTCAGCGTGGAGAAAAGTATGAGAAAAATAGAGAACAAATAACAAAGGGAAATTACTAGAATATGAGAGAATAGAAAATAGCGCTCTATTCTCTTGGAAGTATGCTGCCACCACCTCCCCTTTTAATAGTGGAAGAGATAACAGTAGCCTCAGTCATAGGAGAAGGGAGGAAAACATAGAGTTTGGGTTGGAGCACGAGAAAACCCAGTGAGAAATAATACAGGATAATTATAACAAGATAGGGGTCCTGATAAGTACTGGCTCTTAAGGTAGCTTTGCCTGAAAATTGAGCAGTAGGCACCTTATCATGGCCTGACTCCCCAAAAAAAAAAATTAGTATATTATTCAATTTAACCTTGGGCAAATTGACAATATGTACATGGCTCAAAGGAGGAAGTAAAATATGCTCAGATAAAACCACTTACAATTTAATAAACACATTGCAAGGGAATCTGAAATCAGTGGCACCCAAGAAAAAAAAAAATGCTAGCAGCAAATTCCTAATATTTCAGTAGAACCTGCTTACTGATATTATAACAATCACACCACACAGTTCCCAAGGAATGCCCTTGCTTTGACATACTGTCTGGGGTTACCTCCCTTGATTTACTGCCTTGATACATTCCTTCTTTGGGCCACTACTGAGGTCTTCCCCAAATCCTAGATTACAAGCCTGGATTGATTCTTCCAGGGCTAGGGTTTTCAAGGTCTCTAGAAACAAGCTCCTTTCCTAAGTATCTCTGGTTGATTCCACTAACTCTTGGGTATCTCTTCAGCAACCCATAAACTTCTACTACAGGTTGGCTATCACTAATCCAGCATTATTGGGACCTGACATTATTATTGGAATCTGATATTATCTTTACTGAAATTATGAGATCTCAAGAGCCTACTTTTCTTTGTTAAAAATTCTTTTTCTACAAAAACTGGCATTGATAAACAATTTTTCAAAATGAATATTCTATGTATTATAGAACTATTTGTATGACACAAAGCATCTTTTATTGCACTGCTCTCTAACACTGAAGATGTATATCATTTCAACATACCTGGATCAGAGGATTCAAAGTAATGCTTATTGTTGCCTGCTTTGTTATTATTATTTTACTAATGCATCAGCCATTTCCCACCAAGGCAGGATGGCCCAAAAAAGAAAAACTTTCATCATTCACACCATTACTGTCTTGCCACAGGCAGGCTTACACTACAGTTACAAAACTGCAACATGAACACTCATCCTTCAGAGTGCCAGCACTGTACTTCACATCTCCAGGAATCAGGTCTGGCCTGCCAGTTTCCCCTAAATCCCTTCACAAATGTTACCTTGCTCACACTCCAACAGCATGTCAAATCCTAAAAACTGCTCGTCTCCATTTGCTCCTAACAAGCTCACGCACTCTTGCTGGAAGTCCAAGCCCCTCGCACACAAAACCTCCTTTACCCCCTCCTCCCTCCAACCTTTCCTAGGCTGACCCCTACCCCGCCTTCCCTCTTCTACAGATTTATACACTCTCGAAGTCATTCTATTTTGTTCGTTCCTCTATACATATACAAACTATCTCAAAAGCCCCTCCTCAGCCTTCTGGTAATCCTGCACCTCCTCCTAATCTCCAAACTATGGAATCTCTGCATTATATTCCCACTACACATAGCCCTCAGACATAACACCTCCACTGTCTCCAGCCTTCTCCTTGTTGCAACATTCACCACCAATGCTTCACACCCTCCTTGCTTTCATGGATAAAGTAATTTGTCTCCAGAGACTCCTCAGTGCACCACTCACCTTTTTCCCCTCATCAATTCTGTGATTCACTTCATCTTTCATTGACCCATCTGCTGACACATCCACTCCCAAATATGTATCTGAATACATTCACCTCCTCCATACTCTCTCCCTCCAATCTGATATCCAATCTTAAATTACCTAAATTTTTGGTTATCCTCATCACCTTACTCTTTCCTATATTCACTTTTAATTTCCTTCTTTTACATACCCTACCAAACTCATCAACAGACTTCTGCAGCTTCTTTTCAGAATCTCCCAAATGCACAGTGTCATAAGTAAACAGCAACTGTGACAACTCCCACTTTGTGTTAGATTATTTATCTTTTAACCCCACACCTCTTGCCAACACCCGAGCATTCACTTCTCTTACAACTCCATCTATAAATATATTGAACAACCATGGTGACATCACACATCCCTGTCCAAGGCCTGCTTTTACTGGGAAATAATCTCCCTCTCACTCGCGTACTCTTAACCTGAACCTCACTGTCCTCATAAAAATTCTTCACTGCTTTCAGTAACCTACCTCCTAGTCTATACATTTGCAACATCTGCCACATTGCCCCTCTATCCACCCTATAATATGCCTTTTCCAAATCCATAAATGCCACAAAAACCTCTTTACCCTTATCTAAATACTGTTCACCTATGTTTCACTGCAAAGACTTGATCTACCTACACCCCTTCCCTTCCTAAAACCTCCTTGTTCATCTGTTATCCTGCTCTCCATCTTACTCTTAATTCTTTCGGTAATAACTCTGCCATATACTTTACCAGGTATACTCAACAGATTTATTCCTCTATAATTTTTACACACTTTTGTCCCCTTTGCCTTCATACAAAGGAACTGTGCATGCTCTCTACCAATCCCTAGGTACCTTACCCTCTTCCATACATTTATTAAATAAAAACACTAACCACTCCAAAACTATACCTCCACCTGCTTTTAACATTTCTATCTTTATCCCATCAATCCCATCTGCTTTTCCCCCCTTTCATTCTACCCATTACCCCATGTACTTCCACCACACTCATAATTGGTTCTTCCTCACTGTTGCATCTTTTGACTAAGATTGGCTTTTATATTTGAGAAAAGTTCAAATGTGTTCTAATTAATATTATCTTGCGATCTTAACCCTTTCAGGGTCCAGAGGCCAAATTTCGAAGGGTGCACCAGTGTCCAAGAATTTTCAAAAGAAAAATTTTTATTTTTTCTTATGAAATGGTAGAGAATCTTTTTCTGAAGGTAATGAAACAAAAAGTACGAAATTTGATGGAAAATTGACGAAATTATGCTCTTGCGAATTTTTGTGTCGGCGATATTTATGAATCAGCGATTTTGCCAACTTTGACGCCCATTTTAGGCCAATTACATTATTCCAGTTGACCAAATTCTTAGCTATTTCACTAGTATTACTTCTCTTCTATTGATTGAGCACAAGAAATTGCCAAGTCAACTGTTTCAACTACAAAATAAAGTGATCGGAAATTGGTAATTTCGCTAATTTAACACTGTTCAAAATATTCCAGTTTCAAAATAGGGTCCAGAATAAACAATGTAGGTATTCCTGGCACTAAACTACCATTTCCTCTGTTCATTAGTTAGGTTTTGAGGCTTTACAAATGAATTCTATTTTGATTTTTTATTCACATAATGAATTTTTATTCAAACCAAAAAATAGAAGATTTACTGTTATGCAATATTGTAATAATTGTATAAATATCATCACCACATTTGTGAATGTATATTAGACCCATCAGTTGGCGTGTATTAGACGTGTGAGGTTGTCTGTTTACTCTTGAACATTGGCAAAAATTTAACATTTCCGCTACTCTGAGCTCAGTTTCAAGCCATTTTCAGTGCTAAAACCAATCAAAATCATCTCTATTTCTGTAATATGTCTTCCATTCTATCAAATGAGACCAAGAAATTGCAAATACAACTGTAACAAACATACAAAAAAACACTGCAGTTGCTGTTTTAATCGAAAATCATGATCTCAGTTTTTTTCTCATACACTGTGTGCTGCAGGATTTGTTTTATGTGGTACACACATACCACATAGATGTATTCTCTCATATCTAGGCCCAAATTTACCACTCACAGCTTATCAGAGTGAGCTGAGCTCATGGCGTAGATCTACAGCTTGGACCCTGAACGTAAAACCGTAGATCTACGGGATGGACCCTGAAAGGGTTAAACTGGACAAAGTGTGCTTTATAATATTATCTAACACCATTGTAAATATTGCATTCTGTATTTTATTAAGCATTCATAATATTACGTATGTGATTTTTATGTAGTGGGGAACCACTAGTTAGAATGCCAGTTACCAGTCACCAACTTGCCTACCCGCTAAGTCATGTGATCCCACCTTATATCGGATTACCCCTCCTTAGCACTGGCGGTAGGTTCACCCACTAACTTCCAAGTAGTACTGTGCCTTGTACTCTCACACTTAGTCTGATCTCTGTTTTCTAGAGTTCTCTATTCATATTCATATCCCTTGCTTGGGAATATCGATGAAACTTCCTGTATGGATTGTATGAATTTAGTGTCTCTGTGAAGACACTGATATGAGTTGTGTTAGCAGCGTATTAGTTATTTCATGTCTTGTATTGATTGCCTAACTCTACTAACAATAGCTATATATATAATTTTACCCTTTATGTGTAAAGGGAAAGATAAGTAATTTCATGCTCTTCATTAAGATTATGGTTCACAGAGATATGAAGATCCTATGTAAGTTTATTATTATTAAAGACAAGGATTTTACTCGTTTGTTTTGGTCATCCTGTAGAAAGTAAGAAGGTTAACATAGAAAACCTCTTATGTTAAGAAGGCTATATTTGTCGCACTAAACCCTTGTTGACATTCAATCGATAAAGTTTATTCTCTATAATTTTTACAATGCAGGGTTTGCATATCATAGAATATTAGTTACAATTTGTGGTTTACATATTATAAAATACTAATTAGAGAGGGCCACCATCACACCTAGCATGACTAGGCATTTCAGGCAGACTAAGATTAATTCAAACTCTATTGGTACAGGTTATGGAGCACGTTGATATTAAGGGATGGTAACTGCATTACGGTTCATAAATTTAGCAATGTAAATGGTTTTGACTTGATACGATACAGTTTCTATTAAAGTTCCTATATTGGAGTATCTCAGGCAAACTTATGACTAGTTAAAGATTTTATTACATATTTCTATGTTAAGTCAATTTGGTGAGTGTTAGTGAGAATTGGGGGGGAATCATAGATATCGAGAGTAGGTCTAGTTTGCTTTTTGTGTGTGTATGATACAAGAGAATAGGTGGTTTTCATGTAATTAGCTGACGGTGGAGTGTGTCAGTGAGATCATTTGTTTTCTAACGGTAGTTTTGAAAGTGATGATCATCTGCAGTTCTAGAGTTTTCAGGTAGGGTGTTCCAGATTTTAGGTCCTTTTATGTACATTGAATTTTTGTATAGGTTTAGCTGTACACGGGGAATATCGTAGAGATTTTTGTGCCTGGTGTTATGCCTGTGGGTCCTGTCACAACTATCAAGAAAGTGTTTTAGTTCGGAGTTAATATTGGAATTTATGGTTCTGTAAATGTAGGTCACACAGTAGTAAGTGTAGATGTTCTGTACAGTGAGTAAGTTTAGATCTTTGAAGAGTGAGGGGGTGTGATGCCTGGGATTGGATTGTGTGATTATTCTTACTGTGGCTTTTTGTTGGGTTATTATTGGCTTTAAGTGTGTTGCTGCTGTTGATCCCCAGGCACAAATAGCATAGGTAAGGTTGGGATAGATGAGTGAATAGTATAGTGCGAGTAGGGCTGATTGTGACACGTAATAACGTATCTTGGAGAGGATCCCAACCGTTTTGGATACATTTTTTTTTGTTATGTGTTGGATATGGGTGCTGAATTTCAGGTTGCTGTCAAGGTATAGGCCTAGGAATTTGCCCTCATTATGTTTGGCAATAAGAGTGTTGTCGATCTTAATGTTAAGTTGTGCAACACCTGCTCTGTTACCAAACATAATATAGGAGGTTTTGTCAGTGTTAAGTGTAAGTTTATTGGCTGTCAACCAAGTAGATATTTTGAGTAGCTCCTCATTAACAATGGTGTTGAGTGTGGCATGATTTGGGTGGGAGATGACACAAGTCGTGCCGTCAGCAAAGGGAATGGGTTTCAGGTGTTGTGATATGTAGGGAAGATCATTTATGTATAAGAGGAAGAGCGGGAGACCAAAGACACTTCCCTGTGGCACTCCAAGTGGTCGTGTTGATGAGGTTGTGTCTTTAATGGTGATGTACTGGTACCTATTAGTAAGGTAGGATTTGAAATATGCAAGTGCATGGCCTCTTATACCATAATGGTCAAGTTTGTGGAGTAGGATGCCGTGGTCTACTGTGTCAAAAACTTTTACACAAATAACCTGCATATAGAAGAGAGGAGCTTACGACGATGTTTCGGTCCAACTTGGACCATTTGTGCCTTTTTTTGTTATTCAAAAGGTTTTCTTGGGTCAATAAAAATTCCTAATGGATACTCCTTTTCCACTGCTGTGTAAAGCATATCTAGCATTTTTACAATTGCATCATTTGTGCTTTTATTTTTCATAAAGCCAAATTGGCAAGGGTTGAGTATGCTTTGTGCTGTTATAAACGAATATAATCTCTTGTGCTCGAGTTTCTCGAAGATTGTGGATAGCAACAGTAAGTTTGAGATTGGCCTATAGTTGTTTACATCTGTGGGGTCACCACCGTTGTGTATTGATGTAACCCTTGCTGTCTTGAGCAGTGTTGGAAACCGCTAGTTTCTAGTGACTTGTTAAAAAGTAATGAAATACCATGCGAGAGGACAGGGGCTGCATGCTTGTACAATAATGGTGGGACGTGAGACAGATTCCCTGAATTATTTTTAGGTGACTTAATAATCATGGCGACTTCGGTGGGCTCAGTAGATGCAAGATTTGAAGAGTCTGGGAAATTCCCATTTAAGGAATCACTTGCTCGGGCATTGGTACCTGGGATTTTACTGGCATTTAAGGAATCACTTGCTCGGGCATTGGTACCTGGGATTTTACTGGCATTTAAGGAATCACTTGCTCGGGCATTGGTACCTGGGATTTTACTGGCAAGATTAGATCCTATAGTTCAGAAGAAGTCATTTATCTTGTTAACTGTATCAGTGGGATGCAATGGTGTTTTGTTCAGTTAGTGAGGACAATATCCCTAGTTTTTTCAGTTTGTGGGTTCCCAAAATCTGAGCGTTTTCCAAGTCTTTTTTATATCTTTGTTTCAGTGAATCTGCTGGAGTAGTACAATTGTTTGGCTTTTTTTATTAGTTTGGTGAGAACTGATGAATAGTGTTCAAGAATATCTTTGTGTATTAAGCCCTTTCTATATTGTTTTTACATATTGGTGTTTCTTATCAATGGATCTTTGTATGCTGCTAGTTAGCCATGGGCAACCAAGATGTTTATTTGTGATCTGTTTCGTTTTTATAAGCTAATGTTTGTTGTATAGACCAAGTAATTTATTAAGAAATATGTCAGTCCTAACGTCGATACCATTGGCCTTGGAGAATTCTGTAGGCCAGTCAACCATCTCTAACTCTGCTGTGAATTTACTTACCAAGGCCTCATCTTAGTCTGAATGAAACTTTTTTATAATCCAGTGGTGGTTTACTCATGTTTGTTAAGAGGAAGGTGGGGTAGTGGTCAGTAGTGTTGTCTGTGATTATCCCTGATTTAAGGGGGCCTAGTATATTGGTCCATATATGGTCAATTATGGTTGCAATTGTCTCGGTCAGCTTGGTTGGTGTAGTTATCGTTGGTATGAGAAGTGTGTTCATATTGTTGATGAAATAATTTACAGGCTGATCATCTGGTAGGCCAAGGTTGATATTAAAGTCTCCAGCTAAGAGAAGGTGGTGCTTGTTCATTTGGCTGTTTGTTATTAGTGTCTTTAGTTTCTCACTGAAATTTGGGATGTTTGTATGAGGCATCCAGTAAATGGCACCGATTGTTATACGAGTCTTCAGGTTTTTTACATTAAAGCTAGCAAAAATATATTCTCCAAATTTATCACTATACATACCAAGTGGTGCTGATACAGGATAGTTCATTAGAGTAATAGATTGCAATTCCACCCCCAACTTGGTATGATCTGCAGTTGTGGATTGCTGTGTATCCTGGTAGTGAGTAGATATCTATTGTGTCCTGCTTAAGCCAGGTTTCAGTGAGAATAATAAAAGAGAAGGTTGTCTTCAAGGAATCAAGGAGTGCCAGGTCATCATCATAGTGTTTGCTTAAGGACCTGATGTTGTAGTTAAGAACTGTTAGACTTTTAGCAGTTTTCAGGATAGTGCTGGCTTGTGATGCTGTATAATAAAGGCAGTTACTTTCCAATAAATTTTGATTTGGGTGTTAGATTATATAGGTTTAGATCAGGGTCGACATGATCATTGGAGTTTTCCCCTAGACAAAGCTCATACACAAACTGGTTCCACAAACATTAATCAGTGGACATTCTAGCCCCTCCATACGCATCACTCACTACCATAAGATGTTATTCCTCCTTGCCCTATACATGAAATCACAGCTTCCCTATCTTCATCAACATCTAACAGTTCCTCAAAATATTCCATCCATCTTCCTGATACCTCTAACTCTGTTTAATAACTCTACTATTTTTAACAAATCCATTCATTCCCTAGGCTTTCTCAACTTATTAATCTTACTCCAAAACTTTTTCTTATTTTCAACAAAATTTGTTGATAATATCTCACCCACTCTCTCATTTGCTCTCTTTTTACATTGCTTCACCACTCTTAACCTATGTTTCTCTCCAGGTACTCTTCCCTCCTTCCAACACTTCTACTTTGTGAAAACCTCTCATACACTAACTTTTTCTCTTACTACCCTCTCTCTACATCATTCCAACAATTGCTCTTCTTCCCTCCTGCACTCACTTTCCTGTAACCACAAACTTCTGCTGAACACTCTAACACTATACAGTGGACTCCCGCTTAACGATCACCTCCCAATGCGACCAATTATGTAAGTGTATTTATGTAAGTGCATTTGTATGTGTATGTTTGGGGGTCTGAAATGGACTAAGCTAATTTACAATATTCCTTATGGGAACAAATTCGTTCAGTACTGGCACCTGAACATACTTCTGGAATGAAATAATGTCGTAAACCGGGGGTCCACTGTATTCTTAAACTTACCCCATAATTTCTACCCTCCTTTGCCTATACTCATACTAGCCCATCTATTCTCTAACAGTTGTTTACATCTTACCCTAACTGCCTCCTCTTTTAGTTTATAAACCTTCACCTCTCTCTTACTCTCTGCTTCCATTTTCCTTGTATCCCATCTAATTTTTACTTTATATGAAGCTACAACTAAAAAGTGATCCGGTATATCTGTGGCCACTCTATAAACATGTACATCCTAAAGTCTACCTAACAGTCTTTTATCTACCATGACTCCCAAAATCGTAATGACACAATTGCAAACAAATCATACCACGGGCGGGGATAGAACCCGCGATCAGAGAGTCTCAAAACTCCAGGCCGTCGTGTTAGCCACTAGACCAGCTAGCCACAATAAGATTCTTCCAACTAGGTGGAGTTCGTCACAGCCTCGCTAGCTGGAGATTCGTCTGTAAAAACTTGTATTTGTGGTCACAGTGGTGCCCATGCTAACCTTCCTATGGTGTAGAAATATACCTAGTTGGTCGAATCTTATTGTGGCTAGCTAGTCCAG